TAAAAACTCAAAATACCTTTAAATTTCCTTTTTCACCGCACTACCCCTTCTAAACATTTATTTTTTTTTAAAAAAAATAGTAAATTATAACATATTTTTATAAAATAGGTAGATTATAGTAAAGTCCACCATGGCCGGGACTCGCGGCCAGCTCTGGCGATCAACTCCAGCAATCAGTTCCGGCGACCGATGATCATTTTTCGGCGACCATTTATCACTATATTTATCGATAAATACCAGATTTACCATTAAATATCGTATTTACTAGTAAATATCATTCTCAACCGAAAAGCGGGCCACTAACTCTGGCAACCGTTTAACATTGTATTTACAAGTAAATACTGTATTTATCAATAAATACCGTATTTACTAGTAAATATCATATTTACCTGAAAATCTAACCACAAACTTCTGTGACCGTTTAACACTGTAATTACCGTATTTATCAGTAAATACTATATTTACTAATAAATATCATAATTATCGTATCAACAGGTAAATACGTATTTATTTGAAAATCTGACAACTGGTGAATAATATATTTATTGGTAAATTCTATATGTACTGGTAAATTCCATATGTCCATATTTATTTGAAAAGTTAACTACCGACTCTGGCGACTGACAAACACCATCTTTACCAAATTTAAACTTATTTAGTAAAGTATTTACTAGTAAATACAATATTTATTAAATTGAAAATTAAATTCAGTGAGATATTTACTGGTAAATATAATATTTACCATATTCAAAATCTTAAATAAAAAAATAAAATCACAAAAGTCTATCGAAAAATCTCACCGATAACCAAATCGAAACAAATGCTATATTTACCATCTGTTGATAAAAAATTATTTGATACACATTTTACTTAAAAATTGAAAACAATACAAAAAAGCGAGTGAACATCATTTCACAAGTTTGAATACTATATTTACACAAACTACAAACCAGCGTAATAAAACATCCTTAAATCAAATCAGCGGCCATTCAACAAATTACAAACTAAACATTATTTCTAAAGGAAAAATAAACAATCAAACCTAGAGATGTCAAATGTGCCGTGTTGGACTGGCACGACACGTCTGATCCAGGCTCATGGCGGGTCTGGGCCGTGCCTGGCACAGCCATGCACAGTGCAGGGCCAGGTCTGAGGAGAAAATTTCAGGCTCGCGGCCCTAGTCCATAAGGGCTAGGGTCCAGGCCCTTCACGGGCCAGCCCAAGCCCTTCACGGGCCAGCCCAGGCCCTTCACGGGCCAGCCCTGGCCCTTGTAATTTTTTTTTAAAAATTTAATTGAAAAAAAGAAAATATATCATATGTCCCAAAAAGATGTGATTTTATTGAATTGATATAATACGAATAAGTACACATAAATGACTGCCTCGTTAAAAATATTGCCAAGTAAAACTCGTGGGGAGATCAGGACAAAACCTTAAGGAAGGAAAAAAGAGTGCAGTATTCTAGGAATAGTAAATTATAAAACCTAAGTGCTTCCAGAAGATTCTGTTATTTCTAAGTTAGAAAAATAGTCTTGCATTGAATCATCTGTGTATTGTTGTTTTCGTCTTCTGGCATCTTCCCAGTCTTTAACGCACATTAGCCCCTCCAAGATATCTAGATGCATTCTGCTTCTCTTCTCGTCAAGAATTCGGTTCCTTGCACTAAATGCTTGCTCTGAGGCTACCGTTGACACTGGAGTTGTCAGAATGTCACGAGCTATTACGGGTAGTGTTGGAAAACGATCGGTCTTGCTCTTCCACCACTGTAAGATGTCTAGTTTGTCGTCATCGATTACAAAATTTGCTTCAAAATATTTTACTAGTTCGGTAGACGCTTGTGTTGATGACAATCCTGTCGTTTTCTCTTTCTTCTTCAAGAAACTACACGATGATCCTTTAGGCCCCGAACTGGTAGTTGACGTCGAAGTTCCTCGTTCTTTTTGACCTGTGATGTATTTTGCTTCATACAAACCAAATACCTTTTCTTACATTTTCCCAGCGTCAGTAATAGTTAGTTGCATATCAATACCTAAATTTTCTGCTGTAGCAGTCATCAAAGATTCAATCACATCTACTCCGCACCTAGGATCTAAAATGGTTGCTAATGTATATAACATAGGACAACCTGACCAATAACTTTTAAATTTAGTTTCTATTAGCTTAACTATGTCTCCAAAAAGTATTGTATCCCTATAATAAGAAAATGTTTCTGAAATATTAAATAGTTGATGTAAAGCTAAATGTGTAGTAGGATAATAAACTCTGGAAAGTAATTCAGTAGCATTGTAAAAAACTTCTAGAAATTTAAAAAAATACTCACCAATCTGTCAATCTGTATCGAAAATTAAAAGTTGATCATTCTTACTGTTTACATACGTTGTGATGAGCTGTGAATTCAGGAGTGCGGCCTTCAACATTAAATAGGAGGAATTCCACCTATGTCTCACGTCAGTTGGGAACTTTCTTAGGCGCATCTGATTAGTCCTCTAATATTGTTTGAATACTTGGTGCCGAGCTCCAGAACTAAATATGAAGGATAAAGATTCTCTAATATTTGTTAGATTAGCTGAAATATGTTCAATTCCTGCCTGAACTACTAATTTGATTATGTGACACATACACCGTTAATGAAAAATTTCTCTCCCAAACGCTGGTTTCAAACTACGTTTAAACATGTTAGTTGTAGTTGTGTTAGCTGACACGTTAACAAAAGTAATAGTTAAAACTTTATCTTCTATCCCATAAAATCTAAAATTTCCCATTATAGTACTAAAAATAGCTGAAGCATTATGAGGATATGGACATAAACGAAAACCTATTATTCTTTTTTGTAAAACCCATTCATCATCAACATAATGCGCTGTGACACATAAATATCCAGTTTTATTGCACCCCTCCCTTAGATCAGAAGCACAAGATACAGTAGCATTAAAAGTCATAAAATTATCAACAAGAGATTGTCTCATTGCATAAAACACTTTCATGCAATCAGAATGAGTTGTGTTTCTACTTACCCGTTTAAATTGTGGGCAGAACGCTGTCTATATGAATTCTTCAAACAACGCATCATCTACAAAAGAAAGAGGCAATTCGGCACTAGCTAGAAATTTCACTAGTGCCTCACGAGCACGTTGTGCATCGTATGTAAAATTTTGTAACCTTTATGATGTGAGTGATAGTGTTTGTTGGCGGGAGTCCACACTCCCACCTTGGTGCAATGGTAGACATACTTTTCAATGTCTATCCAGATGACCAGTACCCCCACCATTTTTATTAGAAAAGTGTTTTTTATAATACTTACATACCGCACGAATTTTTATTTCACCTGTTTTTGGATTTGATCAGGACTCCTCTATGAAATGCTACCATGCAGGAGAAGTTCGCGGTCTTTTTCTCCTGATGCGTTCTCCAACTTCCTTGTTGTGCATTAAAGCATTACCAACCAGAGCAATTTCTAGTTCAGTGGGGGTGGGTTGGGAGTAGGGTTGGCAAATCGTGTCGACGAGTCGTGTTAGTGTCGGGTTGAAGAAATTTTTTTTTGAAAAACTCCCAACACTAACACGACCCGTGACATGACGGGTTGAGAAAACACTAACACTAACACGACCCGTCCAGACACGGATTGACACTAACACGACCCGCAATAACCCGTGAATTAGGACTCGAAATTCACCCGCATTCCTGACCCGAAATCGACCCGAACCCGTAATAGATATGTCACTTTTTTAAACAATTTGAAGCACTCAAATTACATTAAAAACACTAAAATTACATTAAAAACAACATGAATCAGATATGTCTTCAAAATAACGTCTAACTACATACCAAAGTCCAATAAAATAACAAAGTTCAATCGGATAACCAACTCCAACTAAATAATAAAGCTAGAATTATCTTCCAAGTGTTCAAGAGTTAAGAGCAACCGAGTTTGAAGCTTGAGCATTACCATTCAAGCTAAGAGAAACTACATCCTTTGTCATCTCATTCAAATCCTCAAGTAATGCCTTATCATGATCACCTAAGTTAACATCCAACAAGATTTAAAAATAATAATTTTAGAAATAGCTATAATAAAATTTACTAAACTGATTCAAAAGATAAGTGTAAAATACTTTACCTTCATTTCCAAATAACCAGTCTTTAGTACAGAGAAGTGCTTCAACAGTTTCACTCTTAAGTGAGCTTCGAAATTGATCCAACACACGATCACCATTACTAAATGCTACCTCTGATGCAACTGTTGATACCGGGATGCTTAAGATGTCACGAGCCATCATGGCAAGAATAGGATAGCGGAATTGATTTGACTTCCAAAATGCAAGAATATCTAAAGGTGCATTCCTATTTACCCTAGGCTCATCCAAGTAAAGCTCTAATTGAGATTTTTGGGGAACATCAGAGAAGTCATCATCAACAAGATCATCAAATTCCTACATAAGATTAAAAAAAATGCTTAGACAATATAAGTACATATATGCAATATTTCAAAGTGAATAAGATTAGGGAATATATGAAATAAACATTACCTTGAGTAATTCATCTTCGATGTCAACAGCCATAGTTGGTACTGCATTATTCTTACTTTCTTTCTTTAAAACAGAAGGTGATACACCTGCACCTGTGCCTTGGTCACACTTAGCTTTATACTCTTCAAAAAGGCGCTCCAACTTGTTCCGCATTGATGCCAACTCAATTGAGTTTTCTCCATAAGCCTTCTTGTAGAAAAACTCAACAATTTGCATCTTATACCGAGGATCAAATACCAATGCTATGGATAAAATAGGGCTGAAATCTGACCAATACTTCTGAAACTTTCCCCACATTTGCCATGCCATATCCTTCAAATAACCATCTTCACTTTCCAAGGCTCCTTTCAATGTCACATAGCAGTTCATAATTTTTGGAAAATATAAGTTGGAAGTGGTGTATTTAGTGCCAGAAAATACAAGTGTTGCATCATAAAACACTTTCAAATACTTGTGAGTTTTCTCAACTCTTTCCTATTCATCACTAGAAAGGTGATGCTTGTAATTGGAATCACTTAACTCCAAATGTTGAAAAGCCCGCCTGAAAAAGAGAGCTCTATCAAGCATAAGATAAGTGGAATTCCACCTAGTCACCACATCTTGACACAATCCTTTATTCACATTCAACCGCACCAACTTCACACACTCTATAAACTTTTGCTTCCTCATTTGTGATGCTTTTACATATTTGACAGTGTCACGAATGTTTTCAACTGAGTAATCAATCCTTTTCAAACCATCTTGTACAATTAGATTCAAAATATGAGCACAACATCTCAAATGAAAAAATTCCCCATTTGAAGGCAACAAACCATCCAAATTCAATTGTGTTTGCAAGGAAACCACAGAAACATCATTTGAAGTAGCATTATCCAAAGTGATAGTAAAAATCTTTCCCTCAATACCCCAATCATCGTGTAACAAAGAATAAATCTTTTCAGATAGTGCAATCCCAGTGTGTGGAGGTGGCATATTACAAAAGTTTAATATTCTCTTTTGCAATTTCCAATTCTTGTCAACAAAGTGAGCAGTAAGACACAAATATCCATCACTAGTCAAAGAACTCCACAAATCAGATGTCAACGAAATTCTACCAGGGCATGCAATCACCATATTCTTAATCTTTGCTTTCTCCTTCTCATACATCTTAAGACAAATAGCTTTAGCAGTGTTTCTAGAGATTAATTCTACATCAGGATATAAATACTGTAGCATTGCTCTTAACCCCTTGTACTCAACAAACTGGAATGGCAAATCATGCATAATAATACAAGATGCAACCAACTCACGCCATTTTTCAGAGTCAAACTTGCAAGTATCAAGAGATAAAGTTCCACTATCACGAGAGATAAGCATTTGACCGATGTCACGAGTATCTCTTTTCTTACAAGTTTTAATATGGCGACTCATATTACCTGTTCCATATTTGCTTGAAGCAAGATATTGCTGGCCGTATTTCTTACAAGCACTTCGAACCTTTCCATCTGCCCCCAAAGGAAGTATGTCGAAAAACTTCCACACTTTTGACTTCAAAGTTTTTTTCAGCGGTTTCGTAGAGCTCGTATTAGCAGAGAAACTCTGTTCAACCTCAACTTCAAACACGTCATCTTCAAGGTCCACTCACATTTCACTATTACCTTCACCTTCAACATCTTCACTTACAACCTCTAAATTTACTTTCTCCATCTAAAAAAAAACAAATCCATTTAAAATTAGAATGAAATATTCTTTGATTGATAATAAATCTGTTAAAAAAAAGGACAATAAAAGCAACATCTCTTTGCTGCTGTCACTGTCATTATAAGATAGTTATCTATATCATTGTGTAACTAGCTTATAATGACAAATCATAGCATTTAGACAGAAGATTTAATGAGCGGAGCCACTTTAGCAAATAATCTACTAGCAAAATTAAATCTACCAACTGATTCTTCTTCGTACCAGCAAATAATCAACCAGCCTAAGAAAGAAGAAGAAGTTGCTTACCAGCCTAAGAAATTTCAAATCTACCAGCAAATTTCGTGCAATAACAGAGAATGGGGATGAGATGTTTACCTTCGAGAAGTCCAACCGTCGAGCCGTTGAGAAGGCGAAGATAATCGACCAAGGGGCGGTTGAGAGAGCCGTGAGGGGGCGGCTGAACAGTGAGGTGAGAGAGATGAGCGAGAAGAGAGAGAAAAGAGAAGGGGCGGCTGAACCGTGAGGTGAGAGAGAATAGCAAGAAGAGAGGAGGCGGCTACTAGAGAAGAGAAGAGGAATGGTGTACGTGATTGTGAGAAATGAGAAAGAAGAAATGAAAGGGGGTGAGGCTGCTGCAAATGAGGGTGAGGAGAAGGAAGAAAAGTGTGTGTGTGCGTGTGTGGGTGTGAGGGAGGATTATGGTTTTTTCTCTTATGAGACTAAATTACTAAAAGGTCCAAAATTAAAAAAATAGTATAAAATTAATAAATTAACTAAACGGGTTAATTTAGTGTCATACGGGTTAACACTAACCCGACCCTTTTTCAGACGGGTCAATTTCGGGTTAACACTAAATTAACCCGGGGTTGATATTTTTGACACTAACCCGTAAAAAATCGAGTCGTGTTCGTGTTATGTTGTCGTGTTGTAACCCGTATTGCCAGCCCTAGTTGGGAGGCATCATTTCATCCTCAAAAAATGGCTCATCACCAAGCTCAGGAAGAGCAGTAAAATCAGGGAAGTTTGATGCGGTCATTTTCTGAAAATTGATTAAGCTTAAACTTTGTAAATGAAAGAGTAAGAAAATGAGTGATCGCGAAAAAAAAAGCTTAGAATCAAAATCAAAGAGACAAGATGGGAGATAGAATGAGAGTGAGATGAGAAGTTGAGAGTGAATTATTATGTGGGATTTAGGGTGGAATTAAGGGATATTTATAGGAGATTTTTTAGGGGGTTTTCAGTCGGCCCGTGACGGGCCTAACGGGAGGCCCATCACGGGCCGACCGTTGGGCTCGCAAAGGGCCCAACGGTCACAATCATCACGGGTGGGGGGTATTTTCGTGGGCTTGGGCCAGGCTGAACAATGGTAGAATTTGGGCTTGGGCCGAACTGGCCTTGGGCCGGGCCGCGGGCCTTCACGGGCTAGGGCCAGGCTTATGCTGCGGGTTGAGAAGCCGAGGCCTAGCCCTAGCCCATCAAACATGCCAGGCCGGCACGGCCCGTAACAGTATCGTACCGGGCCGTGTGGAATCCGGCACTGTTCCGGCTGGGCAGGGCCATCCATGGATGGCCCGGCCCATTTGACACCACTAAATCAAACCTTTAAATTAAGGTGACGTTTGGTTCATAACTTCAGAACTATAATTCATGATTTTTATTTTTAAAATTTAAATTTTTTACAAAAGAAAAATACTATAGCAAACTAAGAATTATAATCATAAATCAAACGAGAACTCTCAAAACAAACGGAACATAAAATTAAACTACATTATCAAACAAAATAGAGACGATCTCCATCCATTACCGCCCAAAATCTATAAACCTGTGCAAAAAAGTTCACAAACGTAGAGGGGCGGCCAGAGATCTCGCGACCTTCGCCACGGTGGCTTCGCGCCGTTGATCTTCTTCGGCTCCGATACAGATGTCGCAGTTCTGGTTCGAATGTCGTTCGCCTTGGATATGGTTCGCGCGCAGTTCTGGCTTTGATCCAAAGAGGCTGCCATGTCCCGTCACGTCGCCGTCGTGATCTGGTCAAATCTATTCGCAAGGCGTCTAGTAGACGGCGTCGCATCGGCAGCAGCTCACAGCTTCGTCACTGGTCGTGGCTCCCGTTTGCAGCTCTGGGATCTGGTTTGCGACGATGACTCTCGGCATTTAGTCCCCGACCGTGATCGTCGGAGAAGAAGAGGAGTGTTCGCAATCGCGATCGTCGGATAAGAAGAAGAGGAAAGAAGCGGCGAAGCGATTATCGGAGAAGTAGAGAAGAGAGACGGCGAAGTGATCATCGGAGAAGAAGAGGAGAGAGGCGGCAAAGTGATCGTCGGAGAAGAGAGACAGAGAGTGAAAGGAGGCGTCTGTCCTAAAGAGAAATGAGAGGAAGAAGAGAACTCTGCGACGGTAAATTTTAAGCCTCGTTTACTTCGCGGATTCGAATTTTCAATTCAAGTTGAAATGTGACATTTTCTGAGAGTTTTTCAGTATAACAAAAAAAATTAGATGTGACATTTTCTGAGAACTTTTTAATGTAGCAACCTAAAATTAAAAACTCGAATCGGTGAAATGAACAATACCTTAAAAATGACGAATTTATGAGATGTTTGTTTCTTATATTCGTTCTTGATTCTGAATCATGATTCATGATTTTTTATAATATTTTTTTCTCATAAAAAAACACATAAAACGAGAATGATTATGAATCATGGTTCTAAACCCATAAACCAAACGTCCACTTAATTTAAAATAAATAATTAAGATATACTATAATTTATTAACATTTAAAAGATAAGAATTATCTCTAATTCGATATCAGTACTAAATTAGAACGGCACATATATAATTCCTTTAAAAATATGTATATTTTTAAAAAATATATGTATAATGTAAGGAGACATTTATAATTTATCTAAATACCTATATACATATTTTAAGAAAAAAATATATATATTTTTGAAAAATATATACATGAATAATTTTAATTCGATTCCAATTAAAAACTTTACCTTAAAAGATATTCTATTTACTTCAAACATAAGTATAAAATATATTATTTGCTCTATTTTCTCTTATTTTATTTTTGTTTTAAACTGTTATAATTTTAAAATATATTATTATATTAGATAGGGAATTAGACGGGGGTGGAGAAGGCTTTCTCAATAAGAATTTCAAACCTCAATCCCGTCTCTTTTTAAGCGAGAATAGGGACAGAAATGAGAATAATTTTAAGGAGGGAGAGTGTGGCGAAATGGGTAAGAAATCATTCCGCCTCCCATCCTGTTACTATCCTTATAATGGTATCCCATAATTTTGGGAATGAATCCCACCATTCAATGTTATCTTTTACATTCCATAAAAGAGAACTTTTTTTTTTTTTTTTTTTGGGAGCCCAAAAAACATGCGAATCATATCTTCCTATAAAAATGAACTACGTTATTTTTTGACACTTTCATTTTGCTTCTTCTCATTTTTATTTTGTGTTGCTTTCCCCCTAATATGTTATACTTTTCAAATATACTTCGTTAAATTAGTCTTTCTTTCTTGACTTGTGATCTTTATTAAAATGGATTCTTTGCGCCCTAAAGGACTCCAACCTTTGCCTTTTCTTTAAAATAAATCCAATATTAAATTTTGAAGATATACAATCACTTTAAAGATTTGCAATTTTATTTAATTCCAACATAGAATCTCACATCTTTCGCACTTAGTATGATCTTAATAGTTATTTTGACCGTACGATATTGATTCGACGGTTGTAATAAATTAGATAGTTTACTAAACAAATTAATTGTCATAAAATATTGATTTGATGGTTGTAATAAATTAAATAATTAACTAAAAAAATTATGACAATTAATGAAATTAAATTCTTATCACATAATGTTATCAAATTTTTATATTTGATGATAACCACTAATAAAATCATAACCATTAAAATCTTGTCTATAAATGCGTTATGTGTGTGTGTGTATATATATAATTCGTAGAGGAAAAGCAACGTGCATCAACGATAGTCCTACTGGTTTCTTAAAACCAAAAAGTTTATTTTTCTAAATATTAATATGCTCCCTCCTCTAAGTATTAAACAGGCAGGAACATACAGTTTGGTTCAATAAATAATTTTTAATTAGTTTGACGTGAAACAGTTGGTTTAGCTTGAGCACTTGGTTCGCATGCAAATTAATCTTATGCTGTTAATTATATATGCATACACACACACACATATTATTTATCTGATTATTTATGTGTCCACTATTTTTTTTTTTCAAGGGATTGAAACGGAAGTTGAAAAAAGCAAGTAGAAGCTTTTGACAAAGTCATGGAAATAAAAATTAGCGAGCGCCAACAAGAGGCTTCAAGCAAGGAACAAGATCATAATAATGAGCACCAACACAAGGACTTTGTGGACATCTTGCTTTCACAATTGAACCGACCCATTACAAGTCCTCAAGACCATGATGGTCATGTGCACGCACACGTCCTTGGTCCGAGCTGCTGCGGCATCCATAGCCATGAAGCCATTGGATCGGAACGATTAGTGGAGGAAAAAGACCTGTCCAAGCTTTCTTACTTGGACATGGTGATAAAAGAGAGCTTAAGGCTACATCCGGTTAGTCCATTTATTAACCGACAAGCGCCCTCGGATAAAGATGTTTGTGAGAACTTAACCATCAATGGCTACTCCACACCTAAACATGCTCAAGTTATCATCAATGTGTGGGCGACCTGAAGAGATCCCGACGTGTGGTCGGAGAATGTCGAAGAATTTATCCCGGAAAGGTTTGAATTTGAGACCGGAATAATGGATATTCGAAATGACTTTAGGTTTCTTCCTTTTGGGGCTGGACGTAGAGGGTGTGCTGGGATTCATCTAGGGATGACCACGGATTGTTTTGGCGCAGTTAGTGCATTCCTTTGATTGCAAACTTCCTTATGGAATGACCCCTAATGACTTGGACATGACTAAGGAATCTGGAAGCTTGGCAATGCCACGAGCCAAAAACCTACTTGCTGTGCCAACTTATCGACTTGATGAGTCCACTTGCTAAATCCTTTTACATTTTCCCCCAATTGTTGGAATTTTTATATGTAGACTTGCATAATTTATTCTACTTACATTACTTTCATAATACATGTTGTGAACAATTTAGTTAATAATAATGTATGGAATTGTAAATTGATTTAATTAATGATCATAATGGGATGGCGAGTGTTTTTTATGTTCTATGATTGAGGTCTATAGACTCCTCATAAATGATTTGATCAACTCATTAGATTAAATAACATCTTCAACACAACTGAAATAAGCACAATAGGCGAATTAAAATATGAGCCAAAACAAAAAGGTAGCATATATATTTAGGGTGTGGACAAGTGGTGGTGTGCTTGGTCTATTGTGGACTAAGATCTTTTGTCTAATTTTAATATATCAATTGATGTCTAATCAATCATATCATGCTAAGTCGTATAAAAAATTTGAATTGCTTTTTAACTAACTTTTTATGCTTATCATAAGATGATGTGTTATGATTTAATTGGTTAGAGAATAATTAAGACACAAAAAATTAGACAGAAAATCTGGTTCAGTATATTGTGGTAGAGAGAGAAAGGATGAGAGTTTATTTCTTCCTAATGCAGCCCATATTAGAAAAGAAATCATGTGGCAGTTGGGAATCATATTTTTAGCTAGAAGACAATTATTATGGAAGAAAAGTCAAATTGTACTCTTAAAAATTAGCAATTTTACGATTAGGAAAGTTTCATTTTGCAATAATTTAATCTAAGAAAGTCTGGGATTTATCTAGGAATGACGACTGTTGGTCTTGTTTTAGTCCATTGCTTTGATTGGGAACTTCCTTATGGAATGACTCCTAATGACTGAGGAATTTGGTACAGCAACTGGAAGTAGATTAATAAGATGTAATCTTCCAAAAGGACTCGTGTTAACTACTCATGGAAAAAGCTTTCTTTTCTTTTTTCTTTCTTTTAAACCACTTTGTGAAAATAATGGTGACAAATAGCAGCTTTGAGACTAACTGAAGTAAAGAACATTTTTCTTAACGACAGCAACAATGGTAGTTCTATGTCTTCCGTTCATGATGAGTTCTTGAGTTTTCTAGGCTAAGGCGATTGCGTGATTCTATTCACGATCATGATGCAACCTCTGCCTCTTGTGTTTTCTTTACGACGACAAACTTCATCGCTGTTTCTCCAGTTAGCACAGGTCGTTGCGGCCTAGTAAAGGTGTGGGGTCGGGGTTTTCAATCGGGGATGATTTAGGGATATTAATGCTAAGTCTCTAATTTCTCCTCTTAATCACCAGAAATACTACCAATATCAGAAGGGAGAAAGTTTGCTTAGAGCTGGAAGATAACAAGTTCTAATAAAGTACATAAAAAGGATATTTTGCTACTGAAAACGAGAATAAAAACAAGAAAATGGAATGAAAGGCTTGTGTAAGCTCATCCAAGCAACAAAGCAAAATTTGACCGGTTCCCATTTGGTATATATATAGTAACAGAAAAGAAAAACTTCCACTGCTTACACTTGATCAAGAGAATTAACAAAATGATTAGATGGGAATAATCTAAATAATGTATTCATTATGCACATTGAGAGTAGACATTTAACTTGCTTTCAAGATTAAGAGATGTCATTTTAAGCAAAAATAAATAATAAATAATAAACAGAGAGAGAGAGAGAGAGAGAGAGAGAGAGAGAGAGAGAGAGATTTAGCGATGTCATTCAGGAAGTAATTTTTGACCGGACTGAGCCGTGGAACTGGTTGTACCAAAGCGTTTT